CCTACATCCTCCTCCCATTTACGTTAGAGCCCCCCTCGACGACTTCCTCCTCCACGGCCTCCTTAACGCCGGCAAACTTACCTTGCATGCTTCACCCTATCCCGGTGGCTCTCCTTCCGCTTCCTCTGTCGTCGCATCTCCCATCCTGACCGACCAAATCCCGACCCTCTCATCCTCCTGATCCCACATCCTCACCCTCCCCCTTCGTCATTCTCCAGCTATAATCCAGCCTCTCAAGATTTCGATGGCGACCTTCTCCTACCTGCCTGACCAGGCGCTTGACCTCCCCCTAGTGTTCCCCCTTCCCCCCCTGCCTCTCTGCATTCCCCGCATGATCCCCCCCCTACTCCTTCCGATAGCGGCCGTGCACAAATCCTGTCCCACTTGTAACATGGCACGCCCACAAAAAATGGAGTTGTAGCCCTAACGTGGATGGAGGGAGGAGGGAAGGAGCGATGTGGGGAGGGAGATAGGGAGAGAGATAGAGAGACAGGGTGCTCTTCGCTCACGCCGGGCGAACCCGGCTGTTTGGGTTTTGGGCAGAAAGTGAACGGAACTCTCCGCCTCTTCATGCACAACACCTCTTCATGCACAACACCGCTAAGAGAGAGAGGGAGCAGGGACGGAGGGAAGGAGGGAAGGAGGGAGAGCGAGAGGGAGGAGGAGGGAGGGAGGGAAGGAGGGAGAGAGGAGGGAGGGAGGAGGAGGGAGGGAGGGAAGGAGGGAGAGAGAGAGAGAGGAGGGAGGGAAGGGGAGAGAGAGGGTGCATTTCGCCACACCGCGCGAACTCACCTACTTCCTTTCTGGGCCGAGTGTGAATGGAACTCTCCACATCTTCAGGCACAGCACAACAGGCATACACAGAGGCGCAAGAGAGAGAGAGAGAGAGAGAGAGAGAGAGAGAAAGAGAGAGAGAGGGAGAGGGAGACTGCACTTCTGCACGCCCGTTTGCACGCAGGTCGACTCTGCCCCGCCTGCCTTTTCCTTTCCGGGCAGCACCACAGCAAGGAAAATCCCGACGGCGCTGCCCCGAGAGAACAAATGCGCGTCTGAAAAGCAGATGTGGATAGCTGAGTTGGCGCACCCATGAACTGGCGAAGCGTAGGCCTGAGTCCTTTAGAATTATCTGGGGCCCCGCCGCGCCGGGGCACTAACGAAATGAAAACCTAAACGTGAAAGGGACAAAGGGACACACAAGTTCATTTTTGCCTTTTTCCATGTGGCCCGATAAAAACTGGATCAGGTCGTTTGAGACTTCAAAAAAAAAAAAAAAAAAAATTCGAAATGCCCCTTCGACTTCCATTCATTTGCGGTGTGCCCCTCTGACGGCCGACTTACCTTGTCGCGCCCCTCTGAAAACGATTGAAGTTCTTGAAAAAAAACTGTCATCGTTTGGACCTGAAATATGTTCAATATGCCCCTACCAGTACCGGTTCCAAATTTCTAGTATGCCCCGGTAGCTCCCCTCTCAGGGCCAGCGGATTGGCTGCACTGCCACCAACGGCCACAGGGATATGTTCGAAAGTTGCACCGCTCACTGACAGGGGCCTGCAGGAAACTTCAGGGGGCCCAGGGGCACAACAGGGTAAGTCGCCCGTCGGAGGGGCATACCGCAAATAATGGAAGTCATAGGGGCATTTCAAATTTCCCAACCAAAAAGACTTCTATACAGAGAAGATTGGCATGGCCTGTGGCTGAGTGGTTAGGGCACCAGTTGTCAATGTGCATTGTGGTATGAGGTTGCGGGTTCAAAACTTTGCGCGTGTGTACAGCGATACCGGTTAGCGTTTACATAATGCATGGCCGCTTGGGCTGATGCAGGTAAGAGGCTCGCCACACAGGCTGTCGAAAACCCTGTTTTCGACAATTTTGCATCGCCACACAGACTTTCGAAGAATTGCGGCTCAAAAAACTTTCGACAGGTGTCAGAATGGTCCTTTCGACAGCCGCCCTCCAGCAACGGTTTTCTCCCGCCTGCAGGTGAACAAAATTCGACAGTGCCCCGCCGGGCTGTCGAAAATTGCGTTCGAATTTGCGTTGTCAGGGAATGCTCCCTGACAGCCGTGGCCTGTTTGTCGGTATGTAGTCAACAGTTGCTGTTGAAAACGACGTCGACATCTGGTCCCCATCCGCGCACAAATTCATCCATTTAACAACGACCGCTTTCGCCACATAGCACCTGTCGAAAGGCGGCTTCGACTTGCCAACTTTCGAGAACCTCGCCCCCTCGATAGGATGCGTGGCGATAGGGGGGGAAATTGTCGACGGCCGGACTGTCGAACATGTACTGACACCTGTCGAAAAATTTCGACTTTCGACAGCCTGTGTGGCGAGCCTCTAAGCTATTACAGATACTGCCTGCGCACCACCCAAGGGTCAGTCCACGAGTGTTGTATGCTGGTATGCTGGTCTAGGCTTCGCGTAGGTTGCCTGTTGTTGTTGTCCTTGGTCGCTTTGATGACCTCCTACAGCCTAGACATTTCACACATTATGTTCATTTCTCACAGTAATGCATGTGGTAGAACCCTCCAGTTTCGTGCTGTAGGTTACCGGTTCGAGTCCGGCTTTGGACTTTGGGGGGTCCTGTCTAGATAGGCCTGTCTCTACCACATATTGCACACTCACACACACAAGACACTACCCCTGATACTGGCTATGGGCACAACCACGATACATAGTCTATCACATACCATACACACACACACACACACACACACACACACACACACACACACACACACACACACACACACACACATGTACGGGTGGAGGTGATAGGAGCAACACCTCTCACCGGTACTCGTTCCGCAGATACTCCATGGTGGGGAGCAGCGTTGTGACGAACCACTTTCTTTGCCGCGCAACTTTCTGCGCGATGACAAAGAGGGGTCCTAAGATGGGAAGGTTGGGCCAATTACGGGAGATGGGGATCGACGGGAAATTGCATCGGTCTCCTCGCTTCTTCTTCTTTTTACGTCGCTTTTTTTTTGGATCGCTGGGGCCAAAGTTGGGCGAGTCTCGGGATGGACGGTTGGGTGGTGCGCCGCTGGAGGCGCGATTAATAATGGTTGGTGAGGTTTTCTCTTTGTTTTGCTGTCGGGTTTTTGGCGCAGTGATCGCACGGGAATTTTGCTCCTTCCTTTTTTAATTTCTTTTCAAATTTTGTCGAGCCCTCGATGGCTCTCGGAATTTCGGATTTTCTTTTCGGAATTTGTGCTCTATTGAAGTTCCTTTTTGCATTTTCGAATTAGATAGGAATTTAGGAATTTATGGTTTCTTTTGCCGCGCGATGCTTTTTGCTTGCACGCTTCTTTTTGCGGCTGCAACGGAGCTCTAATTAGTCGGCGCCCTTAATCTTGCGTGTGTAACCGTAAATTTTGGCGGGCGCCATTATAACTGTATCCTTCATCTTAAGCTTCGTTTTTTCCGCCCTCTTTTTTTTTTCTGCTGTGTCTAATAGCCCGTGGGCTGCATGTTCGGATCGATGCGTGGAGAGTGGCTACATCCCCCACGCTGCGATCTGGCCATGCAGAACGTAGGCACTCCCTCCCTTCCTCTCCTTCTAAGCCCTTGCAATTCTGTGTTATTCTCACATGCATACACACTAAAAATTTCGGCTGCGCGATTAGATAGCTCTCTTAAACAGTTGTTGGAAGCTCGGGGTAGCGCGATCAGTGAGGGTCGGCTCACGAGCGAAGTAAGAGGTGAGTAGAAGTGGAAGTTGGGCGATCCGACGAGCTGGTGCCGAATGTGCGGGGTTGACGCGTAGGCTACGACAGACTGTAGCGCGCGGGCGAACCTGACGGGTGCAGGAGGACTAAGCGGGGTGAC